TTGCACGGTGTGTGCATGCACCTTGCACGGTGTGTGCATGCATGCACCTGGCATGGCTTTATGCATGTGCCTTGCAGGCTGTGTGCGCGTGCACCTTGTGCAGCGTGTGCATACGCCTTGCACAGTGCGTACACACCTTGCACACCTTGCGTGCGTTGCATGTGCACAGCCCCTTGCTGGCCTTGTGCATGTCTTGTACGTGCACAGCTCCTTGCACTGTTTTGCACGTGCACTGTCCTTCACACACGTGCCTTGCACATCCCACGTGTGCCCCTTGCACGAGCTCACACGCTCTCGCACGTCCTTGTGCCACTTTGCCTGTCCTTGTGCACCCTTGTGCATCCTTGTGCACCTTTTGAACGCTCTTGTGCACACTTGCATGCCCTTGTGTACCCTTGCACACCCCTACATGCCCTCGTGCACCCTTGCAGGTCCTTGCACGCCCTTGTGCACCCTTGTGTGTCCTCGTGCACCTTTGTGCACCCTTGCACACCCTCGTACACCCTTGTGCACCCTTGCACGCCCTTGCACGCTCCTGTGCCCCCACCTCTTCTTGAGCAGGCCGCTGAAGTCCAGCTCTCCGGCCGCATCGTCCTTGTTGTCACCCCTGGGGAGACACGGCAAGGGGGGGTCCCATGGGAGGGGGGTCAGGGAGCAATGGGGTTTGGGGGGGCACTAAGGTGGGCTGGGTGTTGGGGGGACCCCAGCGTGTTTTGGGTTCCCCAGGGATGGGATTTGGGAGGATCACAGAGTGCGATGGAGATGGTGGGGGTCCTCAAATTGTATTGGGGGGGTCCCAGGGTGTGAGAGAGATGGGGGGTCCCCAAGCTGTGCTGGGGCTTGGGGGGTCCTCAGAGATGGGGCTTGCGGGGGTCCCAGGGTGTGATGGAGATGGGGGGTCCCCAAACTGTGTTGGGGCTTGGGGAGTTCCCCTGGGATGGGGCTTGGGGGGGTCCTAGGATATGATGGAGATGGGGGGATCCCCAAGCTGTGTTGGGGTATAGGGGGCTCCCCAAGCTGTGCTGGGGTTTGGGGGGATCCCCAGGATGAAATGAGGATCATGGAGGGGGGCAGGACATGATGGAGCCTGGGGGGTCACACTAAGCTGGGGAGTGCCCCCCCCGTGTGCAGCGGGTTTTGGGGTCCCCTCTCGGCAGGTTGGGGGGCACTCACGTGCGTTTGAAGGCCTGCAGGACGTTGTCCTTCTCCTCAGAGCGGGGAGCTGCCACAATGGGGGGGCATGAGGACCCCCCACCACCACCTCATCCCTCCCCCCACCCCACACAGCCGCGGGGGGGGCGGGGGGGGAGTCCTGGGTCTTGGGAGGGTCCCCGGGGCCAGGAAGGTCCCAAAGGGGAGTCAGGAGGGTCCCGGGTCTGGAGGGGTCCCAGGAAGGTCCCAGGGGATCTGGAGAGATCCCAAGGGGGGTCCCAGGCTGGGGGGCTCCTGGGTGTGGGGGGGGTTCCAGGTGTGGGAGGATCCTTGAGGGGGGTTCTGGAGGGGTCCCAGCGGTACCATGGGGTAGGTCCTGGTCTGGGGGGGTCCCAGGGGTCCGAGGGGGGTCCTGGGCAGCAGATCCCAGTCCAGGTGGTTCCGAGGGGGTCCCGGGGGGCAGATCCCAGTCTGGGGGTCCTGAGGGGGGTCCCGGGGGGCAACTCCCAGCCCAGGGGTTCCGGGGGGTCCCAGGGGGTCCCGGGGGGCAAGTCCCTGTCTGGGAGGGTCCAGGGGGGTCCCAGGGGGCAGGTCCCTTTCTGGGGGGTCCTGGGGGGGTCCAGGAGTGCCGGGGGCCCCGCTCACCCTCCACGTCGATGTTGAAGGAGCAGCTGTCCTTCTTGTCCTTGGCCGTCACCTCACAGCGATAGTCACCCCGGTCGCCCACCACCACCTTGCTGATGTTCAGCTCGAAGGTGTACACCTAGGGGACACGCGGGACACGCGGGACACCACGGTGACACGAGGGACACAGGACAGGGACACGGGGGACACAGGATGGGGACACGGGGGGACACGTGGGACACCACGGTGACACGNCACGGGGGGACACGTGGGACACCACGGTGACACGAGGGACATGGGACGGGGACACGGGGGGACACGTGGGACACCACGGTGACACGAGGGACACGGGACGGGGACACGCGGGACACGCGGGACACCACTGTGACACGAGGGACATGGGATGGGGACACGGGGGGACACGTGGGACACCACGGTGACACGAGGGACACGGGACCGGGACACGGGGGGACACGTGGGACACCACGGTGACACGAGGGACACGGGACAGGGACACAGGGGGACACGCGGGACACCATGGTGACATGATGGACACGGGACGGGGACACGCGGGGACACGTGGGGACATGTGGGACACAATGGTGACACGAGGGACACGCGATAGGGACACGTGGGGACACGTGGGACACCATGGTGACACAGGACGGAGACATGGGGGACATGGGGGGGCCGCGGCAGGAGCGGGGCCTGCCGCATCCTGGGGCTCCCAGTACTTCCCAGCGCTCCCAGTGTCTCCTGGTGTCACCTTGCTCAGTGTCCCCCCATCCCCAGCAGTGTCCCCTCGCTCCGTGTCACCTGTCCCCGCGTGTCCCCGTGTCACCTTGCTCTCCTTGTCGAAGGCCTCCTTGAACTGGAAGCGGGTGCCGCTCTTGCTGCCCAGCTCCAGCCACTTGCCCTTGAACCACTTGACGGCCGCCTTGGCGCTCAGCTGCGCCCCGTCCACGCGGGCCACCACGGCCACGTCCTTCCCTGGGGACACGGGGGGACATGGGGACACGTGGGGACATGGGGACACCCAGCTGCGCCCCCTCCACGCGGGCCACCACGGCCACGTCCTTCCCTGGGGACACGGGGGGACACGTGGGGACATGGGGACACCCAGCTGCGCCCCGTCCACGCGGGCCACCACGGCCACGTCCTTCCCTGGGGACACGGGGGGACACGGGGGGACATGGGGGGACATGGGGACACAGCCACCTCATGGGGACACAGGGCTGCACACAGGGACACACAGCACCCATGGGGACCCCCATGGGACCCTCAGGACCCTCCCAGCTCCACAGAGACCCTCCAGGGACCCCCCAGCACCCCCCACAGCACCCACAGCACCCTGCCCGTGTCCCCCGTGCCCCCCGTGTCCCCGTACCGGACTCCACGAGGACGCTCTGGGGCTTGTTGATGAAGAGCCCGTCGGGGTCGCGCTGCTCGGGGGGGTGGATGTCGTCTGCGCGAGAGCCGTCAGGGGGGGCACGGGGGCATGGGGGGCCGGGGGGACACGGGGGACACGGGGGGACAGG